TACCAGCTCTCCAAGCTGCCAGGTTGCATATCAGTAATTGGATTGATATTGGCTGATATGGCTGGTTAAAAATCAGCCATTGGTATTGACCCAAAAAAATCTTTATTGGTGCACCCCTAGTTTACAGTTATGCCAGAACTTTTGTTTCAAAACTCCAACATAAAAAATACATTTAAACAGTAATGATGACACCAGACCTGCCCACACTAAAGGCAGTCTCATTTCCATCTCCAGTTCTGTCTGGTTAGTTCATTTTTACTATGGTCATGTCCATGCGTTACTTCACAGCACAGCTGTGTATTAGGATTTGCATCTCTGCTTACCCACGTTTGAATCTGCATCAATGGAAAATCTGGTAGCTGCCCCTTGCTGCATAAGTAGGTGCAAGGCATACATTAAAGGCATACAGGTAGAGCACCCCAGCAGCACAATGGGGCAGTGGAATATAGCATGAAAGTTAGGAAAGGAGAACTGAGCAAATCAATCTCACAGGCATGACCAGAAGATCTGTTTACACAGCAGAGTACCAGTGGTTGCATGTACCACCCTAGACCCTGGGAAGGGTCTAATTGTCAATATATGATTAAGTATCATCCATACTTATGATACAGCTTTTACTCTAGTGTCCCCTGGCTGGCACTAGAGGAGGCTTTAACATTTTGAAATGTCTGTAATGTTTCCTTTTTGAAACGTTTCTAAGTGTTTCACTTGGAAAATTTTCAGTTGTTATTTTTCTTCATCCAGAAAAGTTATGGGATCTCTATCCTTGGAAGTTTTGAAGATTAGGTTAATGCAACTGGCATGATTTAGTTAGGGATGTTCCTGCCTTGAGCAGAGGATTGAACTAGATGCCCTCCCAAGGTCCCTTCCAGTCCTACTTTTCTAGAACTGTTGTATGATTCTGACTGACTATGCCGCCTCTAAATTCTCTGAATAGACAGGCTTTTCAGTTGGCATTTAACAGTCTCCTTGAAGCTGCTCTCACAGCTCAACATCACTTCTGTATGAATGAATATTTGTTCTGGGATCCATAGCAATCTGTGCTAGTATTAAGGCATCTGGCATGATTCCTGGGAAGCATAAAATCTCAACTGGTGCCAACTCTGGTGTGATTCCAGTACTGTGTTAAACACCATAGTTGCTGGGAAACCTTCTTGCTCAAATGCTCTAATTAGAATTGAATAGGTTGGCCTCTTTGTGCTGCTTCATGTAATTCAGTGCCACAGGACATGTTGATATGTTATTTAAGTCTAGCGCCTCTATTGAAGGAATGTGTTCCAAGAAATTCCATGGGATTTTATTGTGCATGCGTATGGACTGGAGTATAAAGACGCTTAATCTTGAATTCAGGTTGTTTCAATTGGTAGAGAATTAAACAAAACAAAACAGCTCCCTCCCCTCAACCATAATTCACAGCTACTGACAACAAAATTTTACTACTGTATTCTGTAGTTAATTGAGTGTGTCTTTCAAAGGTCACCTTATTTAAAATAAGTACTGTTTCCTTTAATAAAAGGACCAGAAATACTGGTTCTATAAATGCGTGAGACATGACATCTACTACATGTCTTATTACTTAACACATCCAAGTTTCTTATTAAGTAAATCATTTATTACTGCAAAACTAGAGGGAATCATTTTCAGTAACTCCTGACAAAAATAATGTGCTCCTTTTTTAAAAGAATATTTGCTTTCAACCAGAACTTACTGAGAAATTCAGAGCACTGCAACTGTTAATTTGGTAAAATGCAAAAAGATCAAATGGAAGAGAGATTTTACATGAAGTTGCATAAGTAGCAGCATGTTCAAACCCAAAGAGACCTCGGAAGTAATACAGTGCTCTTGAACAACCCACTTTTGGTCACCACTTAGAGCAGCTCTAACTAGTTCTGTTAGAGGTGTGTTCAGCACTTAGTCAGCTGTTCTCCTTCCTCCCCCTCATCCCCCACAAGGCCTTTTCAGCAACATTAAAGGTTTGCAAATGACAGTTTCCAGGATCTGTGGCCTCCTAGTGCTTAATATAACCCTTTTTTAGCTCAGCCTTCTCATTTAGGGAAGATTGTGATGGTGAAGTTTTTTATATCGATGGACTGATTGCTGCCTCCTGGTTGTTTGCAGTTGCATGGTGTTATGTTGGCATAACATCTACGTCATTCATCTAATATGATAGAATTACAGGTCACTTTATTATATATGGAAGTTGGTATTCAATGTTACATGACCATTTTTTTTTCTCACATTGTTAAAGGGTGTACAACAGATGTACTACTTAGTATAGTAAAAAGTAGATGTCTACTTTTTACTCTCTTGTTCTGTTGAATCTATCAATACACTAAGTAGTGCCCTCCAAGTGGGAAGAAGGTGAATAATAAAGTGACTTGAATCGACAAAGCATTTGTAAAGGGCAGAAGACGCTAGAGAGACTGTTCTCCTTCAGCTCTCTGCAATGGGTCCAGCATTGTTGGAAATGTAGGCCTCCCTCTTGGAGGGGGGACCACCCAAACTCATACGGTAATTCAATCATGGAGACTCTGGTGAATCTATTAGAGCTGGTTGATTGGGATTGCTGTCACTAGACTCCCTTGTATTGAAGGCTGTAGTTCCATTGCTACAGACTGCGCTGCTTCCTTATGTCATCCTGGTGATGCTGGAGTTGAGAAAATTACTGGTTTGGCAATAACCAGTTTTCTGAAGCGCTCTTTCAACCATTTAGAAACAAGTCAGGAAGCAACACATTTAAAGTTTTACTGTATTCTAAATGTCACAGGCCAAAACTTATTCTGTGGGACTGAGAACATGTCTGTATCACTCTGGGCACTTGGACCATGCAATACCATCCCCTCCCCAAGGAAAAGTGGCAGTAGTGTCACCAGCATAATGCTCTTGGAGCTTACTTGCCTGTGCCTGGTGCTGCACTAAGCCAACCACACGTGGGAGATGGTGTGCACAGAGTGAGTGTGGAGCGTTTCAGTGTAGTGCCCTGACCACCACACACATAAGCAACACAGCCTATGGGCCTGCTGTCAAGGAACTGATGTATAGAAAAGATTGGTCAAAGTGTCCTTTGGACACATTTGTTCCTTCCCCAGACCTAAAAGGAAGAAGAATGGTTTCTTAGACACTTTATTATTTGGTTAATGGTGTCGTGAAAAACCTGCTATCCTGAGTGGTGGTTTGTAACCACTGAAAGTGGTCCAATCACCACTAAAGGCCCTGTGGAGAATGGGGAGGATGTTAACCTAGTAGGTATTGTTGGAGCATGTAGGAAGACGTAAGTGTTTTCCCCAAAAGTCCACAGTCTAAACCGGTGATTCCCAAGCAGGGTTCTGGGGCCTGGCCAGCTTTCCCCACCCTCCCCCCAGTGCCCAGCCCCTCTGCAAGGAAGTAAGCATTGTAATAAATAAATTAGTTTTTGAAATGGTGTGCTGCTTAATTTACAACAGTTATGGAGGGCTGTCTCAAATCTGAAAAGGTTGAGAGCTATGAATCCAAATAAATACAAGATGCTGTATGCTGAAGGAGAAGTAAGGGTCAGAGATGAAAGGAGGTTGGATGGCTCCTCAAATAATAAGGCAGCAGATAACTCAAATACATTAAATCTTCTAATCCAAGTCACTCTTTAGAAATGAAAAAAGCGCCTATCTTCTTATTTTGTAATATATGTTAGGCTGCACAAATGCATTTAAGAGAGCTAAACATTCCTTAGTTCAGTGTCAGCTAAAAATTTGGCATACCAGTTTTCAGGCCTGTTATGAAGTGTATAAAGGAGCATTGGGCTGTGTTCCATGTGTGTGTACCCTGCCAGTAACACTGATTGCTGCTCTGGTGATATTTTTTTTTCAGGTCAGCCATGATACCTGCATTCTTCTGTTGTGTTATCACAGAGTCAGTCTGCCATCCCATAACCTGCATTACACCATTTTTTGTTCACAGCTGAACTGAAAGGGGCAAGAGCTGTGCTACTTTGTCTTCTTCCGATTCCCACTACTAGCATCCCAAAACTGCATTTACATCCCCTTTCTCACTCTTGACATTCCCATATTCAATAGCTCTTCCTTGTCAGTAAGATCTTACAAAGAAGGGGAAGCACCCTAGTTAGGCCACAGCCTATCCAGATATCCTAGCATTTGAGTGCAGAAAATTAGTGGCATAGCTGGCAGCACTTGTTTGTTATTGTAACTCAGAGTAAATTTGGCTGAGTTTCTGAACAGTATCTGGGATTTCCAACAACCAAAATAATGTTTGACATGCTGTAATACTTGTAATGGAGTATTTGTAGTATCTGTGTTAAATCTAAGTACCTCTTGCTAATGCACTGTTTCATTCACTGCAGTGAGGGCCAACCTTTTTGGCAGGCATGCCACACTGGCGCACTCCCCATGTGCCACTCTAACCCCTTCCACTGCCCCACCTGCTGCTCTGCTTTCTGCTTCCTGTCCTATCTGCTGTATGATATACACACAGCCTACCTGTGCCACTTGTGGTGTCTGTGCCACAAGTTAGCCATCCCCTGCTCTATGGCATGGGGTGTAATCTCAGTCCCCAAAAGTTTATACATTTAACTTCAGACTGCTGCAAATAAGAATCGATTAACCCAATTCCTTGCAAGTTACAAAGATACCCAATGTGACTTACGACTAGTCTTCTTTCCATAGAGTGAAAAATAAAACTATTTTCTTCAGTGGAGGGTTGCTTGAGGGCACAGAGCTGAAAACTTGCTGTGATTGTTTAATTTCCTGCATGGCTGCAGTTATTTTGCACGAGTTACGTAAGTAAGGGCTGAAGCAATGAATAAGACAAAACAAATGAACAAGTCCAGCTTTAAAATGCTAGTTGCTAGCTGACTAAGCACAGTTGTTGGGCCACCTGGTGACTTCAGAAGGCTTTAGGGCTATTTAATTGTTTCACTATTATACTGCACTGTAAAACCATATTTATCTTGTTTAGAAAGCAAGCATCTGCTCATATATGCAGATGGCAGAGCGTAGCAATTCTGTCGCATGGCACCCCATATCATAACACATTCTTGGGAGGGGTGGAGAGGCATGGTATAGTGGTGTAAAATCTACAACACCACAGCTAGCCCCCAAGCAGTCAGTAGACTTAAAAAGGGGTGGTAGCCTCCCATGCTGTCTGGTGACAACAAAACAGCAAAGGGAATAGACTTCTTTGAAAGGGGGAGATTTTGTTTTTTGGTATATTTGATTGTACTGGCATTTAAGTGAAGGATCAGCTTCCTGTCGCTACATTACATCAGATAGTATTCAAGAGGCAACTACTGTGTAACAGTACACAGAAATTCTTCAAGGTAAATGTGTGGGAATGGGAGAAATTGATTTTAGAGTTTTGTTTAGATGGTGGCTTGCTGACCTCTGCTGGTGAATTCGTTTTGCAGCAGCTTGCTCACAGGGAACTACGCATTTGATCTGAGCCAAAAGGCCGAGAAGTGAACACACTTGAGTTGTATTCAGTTATTTTGCTAGCTGTCAGAATGCTAGAAAAATGTCTTAGTGTGGCTGTAGCAGTACTCCGAGCACTGGTGTAGTTGGAAGTTGGAATGAGGAGTGACATAACATGAAAGACTCCTTTTAGAATTAGCTCTATTCCACTATGGTATTGCGTGATCCCTGGGACTTGCTTTTAGTTGCAGTTATGATTATAGATGTGTGAATCAGTGTCCTCCAGAGCTGTTGGGAGTAAAAAGGAGTCGTTGTGCTATTGCTTCTTACTGTAAGAGTCAATATTCTGGCCAGGTGGTGCGGTCTCCAGGTGCTTTGGAAACTAAAAAAAAACTTGTGGTTTCAGTAATAGAAAAGAAGTTCCTCCCTCAGTTGGTTGGTGTACTCTGGTCATCTTCATCTACTTGCACAACTTGAACTACCATCTTCTACCAGTGTTTTGCAGATCTCCCCTCAGTCCATCTCTGGATCACTTGCCATATCTTTATAGTTGAATGTATCATTCCTCCAAAAGTCTCTCCCATTTTTCCTGGTGCTGGTAACTACAGCTAATTTCCCTGCCAGCCATGCTGGGATCCTAAGAGTATAAGCTTCAGCTCTTCTTTCTACCTCTCCCTCACACTCTGCATGTCTGTATCCAAATCTTATGCATTCTTCCTATGCACAGTTTCTAAAATACAGCTTTTATTTATGTTCTGAAGTTGCTGCTGTTGTCCAAGTCCTAATCTCCTGTTGCCATTCCTGTAGCTGCCTCCTCATTAATCACCTCCATGCTTACATCCAGACCTTGTTGAGAATATGGCCTCTAAAATCTTCCGTATTCTCTTCTGCATTGTCAAATTTCCTATGGGTCAAGATTCTGCAGGCTGTACCAGGCCATGCTCACCCTTGTATTTCATCAACTAATGCTGTTAGTTTTCCTGCAGCCATCTCCATATTCAGTGTCTTTCCTCTGACCTGGACCTCAAGCCTAATTGTTCACTCCATGAAGGAGAGATGAGAGATTTTGGGGGGCATGGTGGGGGATAGGCAGAATTTAGAAGCTGTGCCTGTTATCACCCTACCTCTCTGCTTATATATTTCATCCCTGCCTGTGCTCTTTCTCTTTGTGAATGGTGCATTCTTAAGAGAGAGGACATGAGTCTTTCCATATGTTTATATCAGCACATTTTTAGTATTGTATTTCATGGTGTATAAGTCAACCCCCCATTTTTCTGATCAAAAAAGTTAGGAATTTTGTAGTGTATAAGTCAGTCTAACTTTTTGGATCAGAAATATGAGATCAACTTGTATGCTGTGTTGACCAATATTTTGAGTACCATATTTCACAATGTAAGTCAAGTTTTGAAGCCCAGTTTGTAACCCTTAAAACTCAACCTTGACTTACATACCATATCACTGCCCCCTGCTAGTGGCGCTGGGCTCAGTGCTTGGCTGGCTCGACCTAGGCGGTACTGCTCATAAGGGATGGGGCTGTGCCAGCCAAACACCGAGCCCGTCTCCATCCACTTTTAAGCAGTGCCGCCCACGGGGGATGGTGATATGATGTATAAGTTGAGGTTGACTTCTAAGAGTTAAAAATTGGGCTTCAAAACTTGACTTGTACACTGTGAAATACAATGAGGTTTAAGGTCTGTCTGGAGTTTAGGTGCTAGTGTGGTCAAGCATACTGATTTATGTAGCCATTGCATGCAAGGGCATTAAGTGTTTAGTGTCATGTCTGACTACCTTTAACTCCACAACCCAAATTACCAGTACCCACTTACAGTTGGGCCTACCAGAGGGCAACTTGAGGTGCAAATCTGCAGTTAGGCTTGAGTTTGTGACCCTGGATTAATAGTGAGGTGCTTAATCTTCTTTACCAGTGCACCTGTTCTTTATTTTGAGTAGCTTAAATAGTAAATATTCGCTGCTGATCAATATAAAATACCAAATAGAAGTGAACCATTCTGTTGGGCAGTACCTGATCAGTACCAAGGTTTGACTTTTTTCAGAGACTTGTGATGATGGTTTGCTTTGAACATTGCTTATGTCCTGAAGATTTTCCTTCAGCTTATTTTCTAAAGATTTTCCTTTCTTTTCAGGATATTCACATTGTACAGCAAATCTTTGCCACTAGACTTGGCATGTCGTGTCTGGGACGTGTTCTGCCGTGATGGAGAGGAGTTCCTTTTCCGTACGGCCTTGGGAATACTAAAACTTTTTGAAGATATTTTGACCAAAATGGACTTCATTCATATAGCTCAATTCCTAACAAAGTTACCAGAGGATTTGCCTTCAGAAGAATTCTTCACATCTATTGCTGCGATTCAGATACAAAGCAGAAACAAAAAGTGGGCTCAGGTAAAGAGTATTTGAGTATCTGCCTCCTTTAACCAGTGAATCTTCAGATGCAGGAAGGAGAGAACATGTAGGAGTCCAAAGTGCACATGTTACAGTTGGGTTAGGCTGAGGAATCTGCAGGTCATTCTGTGATGCTGGCAGGTAGCTAGTCAGGAAAAGGGCTGCCCTGAGCATTTTTCCCCCTGGGAAACTGGTGGTGCATGGTAGTCAGTAGATGGTTTTAGTAGATCCCAGCTTGAACAGCAATGGTGTCATATCATTTTTATTTCTTTCTCCTACTAAGGAGGCTAAAGAAGGCTCAAACTCAGTGTTACAACTTTTCAGTTAAACAACAGACCTTTGTGACAGAAGTTGATGGCTGAATTCTGTAGGAATTTTCCTCATGTTGATACTACTTGTCAAATGGCCAAATCAGTCAAATATGGCAAAGCAAATCTTGCTTTCTAAGTATATCTACATGGAGATAGGAGTTAAGGCTACATTAAAAAAGAATTGGGTGTTGTGATGCTGAACATTTCAACACCTATTTTTTTGGTGCCTGGCTCCTTGAGTCCATAGCTCTTGAGTTAGGCATCTAAACTCTGTATAGTGTAGGAGTGAAGTTAAGTGCTTCAAAACGACATTCACAACATCCAGCATACCATGTGGGATGCTGCTGAGAGGTGCGTGTCTTTTCCTTCCCTTAGGGACTTGGGTTCCTGAGCTGTAGCAAGTGCCTTGATTCATAGCCCCAGATTGTGGAATTAGGCACCTGAGATATTCCTTACAGTGAATGACATCCCATTTCTGAACCTTTAATGGAGGAAGTGATGCTTCCCCGAGTCCTAGGAGACTCATCCATGAAGTGGAGAACCTGGATGCTGTGCACTCCTGCCTGAACAGATTTTAACTTGCATTTACCACTCCTTGAAGAGTTACCTGATCATTCACTGTTCTTAAGGGAAAACACTCCCCCATCCTTCCTCTTGAAGTTGTGCCCCTTGACAAAAAAAAAAGAAAAAGAGGTAAAAAGTGAGAGAGACATGTCCACCACTAGCCTTGTGGTTAGGACACTCAACCGTGAGTGAGGAGTAGGTCTGTGTCTCAGTCCCTGTTCTGAGGGTTTGATGTAGGGGCTCCTCAAGTGTAGCCCACAGGCCACACACAGTCTAAGAAGTGTTTGTATGCAGTCCACAAAGGGACATTTTAGCAGTGGCCATCCTCAACAGAATCAGCTGATCAGCAAGGCTGGAGCTATTGACTCTATTCAGTGGTAATTAATTGGCAAACCTGAGCACTGTGATCCACTGTTAAGGATGTGCTGAATGTTTTGGGAGATATTCAGTTACATCTACCCTGATGCCTTTTATTGGCAAAGGGAAGTTGACTGTAGAAGTCCAACTCAGGTTTGAATTAAGCTCTTGCTGATATTGGATTCTCCTTATTGTAACTTTGTATATATAAAGCATGTGACATGATATCTATTGCACAAAGATACTGCATTGGAGGTTCACCTTGTTGTCCCTAGTGTGATGTCCCACCTTTAAGCAGTCCTGCATGAACAAAAGTTTGTGAATCCCTGGTTTGATGTAAAATGTATTTGTGTATCTGGAGTGCCTTACTCAAACTTTAAGGGCACCTAATTAGCACACGTTGGAGCAGACTGGAAAATGCTAATTAGCAGTCCAGCAGCCTCAGCATCTTGCATATTCAGGGTCCCTGCGATTCAAAATGGCAGCAAGGTGCTTTAACTAAAGCTTGTCAAATGAGCTTTAGTTAAAGCTCACCCACCGCTATTTTGAAGCACAGGATGCTGAATACGTGAGACTCTACGGGCACTTTAAGTAGCTCCTGAGAGCCACTCTGATTAAAGGGCTTCCACCCCAGAACATGTCTAAAGATGCTCTGAGAGCCCAGGCGGGCAGAGGATGTCTTGACCGGAATGATAAATTGGAAACAGTTGTCCTGCGACAGATCCCAGTTGATAAACGAGTGGCTAACCTGAGTCAGAAGACTCTTCAGATAGAGGTGAAGTGACTTGACCAAGGCAGTGTCATTTGGGCTTTGACTGGAGAGCTTATTAGCTCTGGCTTGTAGTGTTTTATTTGCTGTAGTTATTGGGATTTATTCTGGTAATATATTTTCCCCCAGGCATCTTTTGGCTGCAGTAGATTTTACATTGCAACTGGGGATGGAAGTTGAGAACCCAACACCTAGGCTGTGTAGTGTATATTTCCTTTTTAGCTTAGATTGTTTTATATATCTTAGTGGCCAAAATTCTTGTCATGTTAACTGTTCCAGGACTGTCATTCAGTGCAAAGGAACTTTTTAAAGTCTGGATATAATGTTTTTATTTATATAAAAATAATTAAAATCTATGAATATAGATAAAATATTCTTAAAACCACCTTGCTTGAAAGTACTTGGGAAACTCCTGCCTAGCTGAGTGCATTGTAGCTGTTCTTGTGGTAGAAGACACTTTTTAACCTTATGCTCCCTTTTTAAAATACCTCAGGTACTGACTGCATTGCAGAAAGACAACCGGGAAATGGAGAAAGGAAGCCCTTCACTCAAACGCTGAAAACTACAGCTGCTTCAAATTGATGCCCAGGGGAAGAGAATTTGAATGGCAAATGGACTGAGTACAGCTTGACATACGTGGAGCTGCATCAAAGTGTTTCAGAGTTTTGCTTGGCATTGGAGATGATGGCCTTAACAGAAAACAAAATAAGGGGAAGGGACCTATTTTAAATAACGAAACCAAGGCCTAGCCTAAAGAAGCTCAGTAGAATGTGTGGGGACAGCATTACACATTCTACACTTTTAACGAAGGCAGTGAACCCAAACCATTTTAAGTTTTCCTTTTTTATTTCAATGATTATTTTAAAATACTGGCCATTGATTGTGCTTTGAAATCTGTTCCCCTAGTTTGATCCTTAGCCAGAATATTTATCCCATATCCAAGAGCGTAACTAGATCTGGATCTCCAATACCTGGTGCTGGTATTTATAGTTAAGCGGGGTGAGGACCACTTCTTGAGAAATGATTCCTGTTTTTAAAGGCTTTAGGCCCCATTTACCAAAGATATCATTAGATTAAAAATAGAACTACGTTCCATTCACTAACAATAGTGGTAAGTAGAAAATATACTTGACAAAGAAGGATGAAGTCAGACTTTTAGTACAGCAGCAGAGACCATTTTTAAGATGACTTTCAGTAGTGTTTTCCAATTTGGATACACTGGGGAAGTGCTAAATTTAATCCCATTGAATTACTTGTGTTCATCAAGGTGTAATCCTTGGCATTACAGTAACATTTCTGTGTGTGGGTTCAATTCCATTTCCCTTTTAACAGCAGGTACAGTGCTCCTAAATGGCAACAAGTAAATGAGGTTTACTAAGGAATGTCAAATGTAAACACTAACAGGACAAGTAAAATGAATCAGTCCACCTAGCTGTTTTAAGACCAGCCTGGAACACACTGTAATACACTTAAGTTCGGAGATAGCAAACTGCAATTACATATTTTTGTTATACAGTTAAAATTTTCTGCCTTCAACTTTTTGATTGTAAATCATAAGTGCCCATGCTGTATGTTTTCCACTTTACAAGGAAGTGTATCGCATTATGTGCTTTATATAAATAGTATGAATTGCAGCTCTGAAAAGGGAAACTAACTGAAGCAATATATGTTTGATAGAGTAAATGGGAATCCTGAACTCTCCAGGCTTGTATCTTCTGTTTAACATCATCCTTCAGTCTGTCCTCTAGGATGATCTTGTTTTAGTGTTGTCTGAAACAAATATGAATTAGGGGAAACTAAAATTAACATTGGGTTAAAATGGAAGTGTATTTGCACACTCTTGCATTCCAAGTACATACAGCATTTAATGTCAAATGACCACATTATACATGCAAATTATTATTAATCTCCTTATATGGTATTTTGACTATAATATTTAAGAAGGCTCACCATGACTTGTCTGTGTTAAGTGTTTGAGAACTCCTGATCACAGAGAATATGTAATGAAAA